TAAGGATCTCTTTCCATAATGCTCTTTTGTCTGTATAACAATAATAAAAGCTTTATTGGCACCTATTTCACATGACCTCCATAATTCTCCTGTGGCTGACCCTAACCAGTACCAATAAAACCATGCATTCTCTCACTGTACATACCAAAAAGAAGTCATTTTAAAATTGTGTAATGAAATCGATGCCAAAGACCTTTCTGGAAAAGTCACTTTAAAGCAGGACTGTATTATAAATGTTAACTCTTTTCAATAGGGACTACATTTTTTTTTTGACATCACATAATTTGCTGATTTTCTCCCTTTCTCCTAACCTCTATTCAAATAATGAATAACTATTTCAGTTATTACATGGAATAGATATTCCCCCAAATCATTCTCGAATTGTTTTCTTCATTTGTTTATCCACCTACCCAAGGATATTCCCCTGCTTGATCATTTATCATGAGTTAAAATTTCCTTCACTTAGAAAGGAAACAGCACTTAAGTCATGCGATTAATGCTCCCAGTTGCATGCCATCTATAACGAACAATAAATGGGCAACACAGACAGTCAGGACATTCTACGGACTGGAAGTTTCCACCCAAAGCACTTAGTGACTATCTGTGAATAATGAATACATTCATGGGAATCAGCATGGGTTGTGCAGCATTCTTGAAAGGGGAAAAGTCCTCTTCCAGTGTCACTGGCAGTGAAGAATTAAGTAGGGATTGGTTTATAGTTAACAAGTTACTGGAGAGAAAAATAAATAAATAAATAAATACCAGTTACTCTGTTTGCCCATCTTTGGGAATCCCTTAAAATGTACTTCGCATTAAGAAGGGAAAGCCCCAAAGTGTCGCTGCGTTAAGTGCTATTTGACTCGCATTTGAAAGTTTTTAGGACTCTAAGAGCTCTCAGGCTTGCATGTGCCTATAGCTTGGGGCTACGAGAGGCTCCGGCCAGAGCCCCCTGGGGCTTCTGCAAGGGAGGATTGGGTCCCCGGCTGGGCGGTGGCTGGTGGTCTACCTGCAGCAAAAGGGGGTCCCACTCTTCCTGCCGGCGAGGCCACCTGAAATGGAGCATCCCCGGGAGATGCTCCCGGGATCCTCACCCCGATGGAGCTCTCCTGGCCGGGACACCCCCTCGGGGATTCCCCATCCGCTCGGCCCGGCCCGGCCCGAGGAGCTGTGAGCCCGGCTCCCGGGGTCCCACTCTGCACTCGCGGATTTCGGAGGGCGGCGGAGCCGGAGCGGGGACACAGCGAGTTCCCTGCGGAGACAGGAGCAGCCCCGGGGGGAGGCTGTGGGGACCCCCGGGCACTCAGCATCCCCGCATTCCCAGCGCTCACGGGGAAGAAGAGAAGGAAGAAGAAGAAAATGTTACTCAGAGGCCGGGAAACCAGCTGCTGGACCATCGTTTTATTTTACGATCCTTTTCAAAGCAGACATCCAAACATTTCCACCACTACTTGTGCTCTTCCAAAGGAACGCTGGACCCGAAAAAAGTTCCTTCCGAGTGTTTCCCTTGGCGTTTTTGACGGCTCCCGTCAGTTTACTGAAGATGCGAATACGGTCTTTTATTAGCTTTATTTTTATAGTTCAAGCGAACCTCTCCGAAAACTATTTTTTAATATTTATATGTATATACATACATGCATATATATCAACCAGAGACAGATGTTGGCCAAGGAATTCCTTACCCGCGGCGCTGCCTCTGAGCTGTGAGGAGGGCAAGAGGAATCCAGGGATCTGCTCAGAGCCTCTTTTCTGGCACGGGGCAAGGAGAACCAATCCCCCCTTCCCCAAAAAAACCCTTCTGCCCGCAGCGCTGGGGGGTTAAACGCCTCCTGCAGAGATCTCGGCTCCAAAACCCGCGGGCCCTTAAAAGCAGAGAGGAGCAGAGGTTAGGTAGCGAGCGTTAAAGCCTGTCTTTCATTTCGCTTCTATTTTACGACATATCGAGGCAGTGCCGGTGGGGGGAGAGCTAGGGGAGACATCAAACACAGGCAGAGTAATTGCATTCACATTGCAGGCAGGCCCGCTCCACTTCGGGGACCGGCATCGCCTTGCTGCGCCTCTCTGGAGGCACTTGTTACACCTATTTGCACGCTTTCGGCCCCAAACGGAGCCCTTCTCCTGCTGGTCCGTCCGTGTCCCCCGTGTCCCCCCACCCCCCCAGGAACCCGAACCCAAGCCCCCACTTCTGCCTGCCCTATGCTTTGCGAGCACGTCGAGCAAGCGCTGCCGGCGGCTCGGGCGCCGTTGGAGGTGAAGAAGGGACAAGGTGAAGAGGGACGGCCCCGACCCCACAAAGTTGCCCACTGCCGGCAGCCCAGCCAGCACTGAGGAACAGAAACTGGGAACCAGCATTGGGCTGCTCAGCGGAAGAGACCCCACCCCAGAGCCCCAAAACCCCACTTCAGAGCTCCGCGGCCCCATTGTAGAGCCCCGAGACCCCACCGCTGTCCCGAGATGCTTTGAGTCAGGGGAGAGAAGCGGAGCCAGGGGGTGGGAAATGAACCCCCCCACACACACGACGGGCAATGCCCTGGGCTCAGGGGACATTCCCCGGACCCCGTTACCTAGGGGGCTGCACCGAAAGGAGTCGGACATGCCATGGACTCCGCCGCTAGGTGCCAGCCGCCTCCGGGGGTCGCCGGTCCCTGCAGACGGGCAGCCGAGATAGGAGCAAGGCCTGCCCGGCCCAAGGGGTCCCTCTGAGAATAAATGACGAAAATTCCATCGCTGGATGCTTTTCTTGCACTCCACATAGAGCCCTGCATGCTGGCTGCAGTGAGACGTCCAGTAAACATAACCGTGTATTTTGTTTGTTTGTTTGTTTTTTCTTCCTTTTTATCATCATAATAAGCAAAAAGAGTACTCAGCACAAAGTTTCAGCAGTCGTGCTGCTAGAACTATGCAAAAGGTACACAAATATATCAGCAAGCCTAAAAATTACACCACACACAAACACGTCTGTGCAAGTGTTGTGTTTGCAGGTATAGGGTTGTATACATAATGGTTTTGTGTTTTGGGAATATGTCTGAATAAAGATGACTTTTCACAAACACAGTTCAGGATTATTGCACACTAGAAGTTATACATTGTGCCAAAAAGAATGAAGGGGAAAAAAAAAAAGCAAGAGTGAATTAATTCTTATTGATTTTATTATACTTTTTCTAAGTAGAAAGCAAACAATATTACAAAAGTTACATGACTACACTGTAGGAACACTTTAAAAAATACAGGCAGGGGCTACATGCATATTGTTTGCACATTGAATATAAAATGTATAGAAGTAACCGGGGTCCACATTCTTCTTTTTATTCCGGAAAGCACACATATATTTTCTGAGTCTGCCAGTGAAACAGAGCAGACGGTTTATAGATGCGTAAGACATATTGGTCAGACTCATATTTCCTATCTAGTAAAACGCACCACGATGGACAAAGCATTAAAGTAATGTTCGCTAGCATCACTCCTGTGCAACAAGTGATAAATGTACTTTTGCCTGGTTTACAGTTTGCCAGTCATTGGTCTCTGCTCAGGTAGTACTGAAACCCGAACACGTCCCTGTACATTCCTGCTTTTCCAGAGTTCACTTCAGAGCTCTGATTGCTTTTTTTTTTTTTTTGAGTTTTTGGAAATTGAAAGTTTTTTCTCCTTTCTCTCACTTTCTTTCTTTCTTTCTTTCTTTCTTTCTTTCTCTTTCTCTTTCTCTCTCTCTTTCTCTTTTTCCCCCATTTCTCTCTCTCTCTCTTTCTTTCTTTCTTTCCTCTCTTTCTCTCCCCCGCTCCCCACTTTGCCCCTTTCTCCACCTCCCTACACAGCCCCGACACCCGGTTCCCCCCCGGGCCGGCTCTGGCTGCTCCCCGTCTCGTCGCTGCGGCGGCCAGGTGGCAGCGGGCAGTGCCCGACTGCTCCGCTCCCTAAATCGAGCACGGGAAGGGGTGCTCAGGGGTACTGCAAAGGGGAACAAGGAGGGAAATCCCGCCGGAGGAGGTAGAGTGGAGCCGGGGAGCTGGTGAGCATCGCCTCTGAGTCGTGCTTTTAACCCGCTCAAGCAGTACTCCCAGAAGCAGAGAGCAGTGAGTTGAATAAGTAGTTTTCAGGGCATTTGTATACTCACCCAAACCTTCCCGGTCTCCGACGTGCATTTCGGATCGACAGACTTGTCCCACTTGGTCTCCAGGAAAAAGGCAGCGAGTCACTGTCCTGCCCTGGAGCTCTGCGGGGATGCTGGGGGTCCCTGTCCCGAGCGGGGCACATCCGGAAGGCTCGGCAGAAGGGAACAGGCAGGGGGTGGCTTTACGGCTTCCCATGAAGTGGGATTACAATAGCAGCAAGAATCACAAAATCGAAGTGCGGAGAGAGAACGCCGGGAGCGATGGGATCGGGAGCTGGCAGTGGGCGCGCCCTGGGCAATGGGAGACGGGGATGGAGAACTGTCTTCCTTCTCATAAACTACCGCCTAAATCTAGAGACGTAATATACATATATATACATATATATACATACATATACATGTGCATATAGGATAAGAGTATAGACGTACATACATATAAATATTCATATAAAATAAGTGTATCTACATAATACACATATATATAAACATACATATAAAGGTGTATATATTATATATATATACATAAAGGGAATATTTATATATAGAAAGAGAAAGGTTGAATGGCACTAACCGTGCTATGAAGAGCAAGGCGGCCTCGGGAGATGAAGGCCGCCCTCCCTCCAATGCCGCCGGCCTCTTGGCCATTTGGGCACCCTGGGGGCAGACGCTCCCTGGATTCTCCCCGATCCCAGTGCTCCGTATGGGGGTCCAGGACAGGGGGATCCTGCCCGCTCCGCCGGGAGCCCACGGCGGTGGCTGCAGGGCCAAATCTCGTCCGTCCGTCCGTCCGTCCGTCCATCCATCCATCCATCCATCCATCCCCGCCGCCGCAGACATGAAAGCTCAGCGGCCGCCGCACTCCGAAGGGGGGGAGGGGGGGGAGGAGGGGGGCTAATTATTATTAATGATATTAATATAACCGCGGTGCCTGCAGAGCCGATTGGCTGCGTGAGCTGCCCTCCGAGCCCGCTGCATCCAATGGCAAGGCAAAGACGTGAGGTGGCCAAGCCTCCCCCCGGCTGTTCCCCGTGCGCCAGGGCCGGCCCTGCCGCTCCCCCGCGCTCCGGGATTTGCTCCCTAATTGACCTAAATAAGCAGCTCGTGAGTGGCAGCCCCGGGGCGGCGCACGCACACGCGGGCACACACACACACACACACACACACACACACACACATACACACCCAAACGCACCCGCACAGGCAGAGCCCGGCCCCGGCCCCGCCGAGCTCCGCGCCAGCCATCGCGCTGCGCGCCCCCGCGGAGATCCCATTTGCCTCCGCGCTCCTCCAATCGCAGGATCCCCCCCCTCGCCGTGCACGGCGTTTAACTCGCATGACATTTTTATTTCGTTATTATCGTTTTCGCGCAGAATCTGGCGCCTCCGATGGGTTGTCGGCTTGTTTTTTTTTTTTTTTTTTCTCCTTCCCCGTTCCCTTCCCCTCCTCCCCCTTCCCCCTCCCCTCCTAGCTCGCAGGAAATGATGGCAAACCGCGATCTGAAATGATTACTCCGGAAAAAAAACCTTTTATACCAGGAGAGCATCCACGGGGCTAAGCAGAGGCAGGAGGCGGCGGCGGGGCAGCGGGGAGCCGAGGAGCCAGCCTCCCGCGGAGCCGGGGACACCCCCCCCCGTCCCCGTCCCCGTCCCCTTCCCCGTCCCTCCCTCAGCTCCTCTCCGACGATGCCGGACGAAGCGACGGAAAACTCGGGCTCCACCTCCGCCCGCGTCTCGTCCTTCTTCATCGAGGACCTGCTGGGCACCGAGGGCGCTGCGGGCGGCGGGGCGAGGAGGGCGACTGCGGGCGGAGGTGGCCGTGGGGCTCCGCGCTCCCCGCTGCGCCTCGGAGCCTCGGGCTGCCCGCTCCGCGACGCCGCCGTCGGCTGGTACCGCCGGGCGCACGCCGCCTTCCTGGGCTGCGCCAGCCCCGACAGTAAGTCACTTTTCCCTGCTAACCCCTTCCCACCGGGCCCTGATGGGTTTGGGGTAGCCGCTTCCCAAGGCGGGCCGGTGCCGCCGCGGTCCCCGGGGAAATGGAAGAGGGGTGCCGCCAGGGAGCTCCTCGCAGCCCTCTCGCCCTGCATCTCTCCGGGTTCGGGCTCCTGGTGTAAATTTCCGGAAATGCTCACAGTGTGGCAGGCACCTGGAGCCTTCTCCCCGCCTGCTTCTTGCCCCAAAATGTAAACAGTTGGGGTTGTTTGCTCGCTTGGATTTTTTTTTCTCTCTCTCTCTTTTTTTTTTTTTCCCTACCTTTTTTTTTTTTTTTTTTTTTTTTCTAAGAGGGATATCTAGCTCTTTCAGACTCCCCTGAAAGCCGGGGACACGGTCCCTAGCAGAGTAGCAAAGAATTTGGGACCCCCAAAGGGCAGCTGGGGGCCCCGCTGCCCTTTCCCGCAGCCCCGGCCCCGCTGCTCTCCGCGGACAGTGCAGCTCTGCACAGCGCGGCCTGGCACCTCTGGAGAAAAAGCCCCGATTCCCCGGGCACAAATTAACATCTGAAAAAGTTTATGGGCTGCGATCAGTGGTTATTTTTATCCTGATAGAAAAAATATTGTCCCTCGGCGCAGCTCTTTGATTCTGTACGAGCCTGTAGAGTTCACACGATTACTCAGTGAGCAGAAGAGGCGTGATTTATAACCCAAAGAGTTTCTTTTTACAGTGATGGGTTTATTGATATTTTTAATTTATCTCAAAAGTACGCCTAAAAGTAGAAAATGACTACCAAAACAACTGTTTTGTCTTCCTGGCTTGATTTTCTTTTATTTTTTTCCCTCTGTTCTATAAATACTAGGATATTTTTTCCCCTTTAAAATGCAATTCGAAAACACAGTGTTGGAAACGACGGAGACATGCTGGAAGGCAATGTCCCGATATTGGAGTAGCTGACCCGAATGATTTGGTTTATCTAGTTGAGAATATTAAGAGCGAAAATATTTATTTCCCCCCTCCCTTTATATACACACACGCACTAATATGCTTGCCCCACTATACACACACCCCAGTTTACTTACATACGTACTTGTAAATATATGTGCATGTGTGTGAATAGATTTGTGTATGTATGCATGTGCATATAAATATATACATGCACATGTGTTTATAAGTGTATGTCTCTATTATAAAAATATTTATATACTTATGTACATATGTACATGTGTATATATGCTTACATATATATGCTGGTATTCATGTGTACAAAACATAAAGTACATGTATGTTACATATATATATTTGAATTTGCATAGGTATGTGTGTACACGTAGATATGTTATTATATCTTATCACACCTATACACACGTAGATATACATATACACATATACGTGCATGACCATGTCCGTATATGCGTATATATGCACGAGATGTAACTTATGGGTTTGTGCAGGACTGTGTGCACACATCCTCACGGCTGCCGGGAGGTTACGGCAGGACCATATAGCAGGCCATATAGCAACCCAGGGCCGGGCTCCCCGGCATCGCCCTTCCCGCGGCCTTTTCCCTTCCCCTCCCGGTGACCCGGGCAGGGGCAGGCGCAGCCTCTGGGCTCTCCCCATCCCCATCAGGGGCAATGCCCGGAGCGGGCCGCCCCCCCCAGCTCTGTCTGTGCCTCTCTCCGCAGCCAGCGACCGGGACTCGCCCGAGCTGCCCGAGGAGCCGGCGGAGCCGGCGGGTGGCGGCGGCGGGCGGGCGGCGGCGGTGCGGGGCCCCTCGGGAGGGCGACCGGGCCCCGGAGGCCGTGAGGAAGAGGAGGAGCGAGGCGAGGAGCCGGGCGAGCCTGAGCAGCGAGCGGCCGGCCGCAAGAAGAAGACGCGCACAGTGTTCAGCCGCAGCCAGGTCTTCCAGCTGGAGTCCACCTTCGACGTGAAGCGCTACCTGAGCAGCTCGGAGAGGGCCGGGCTGGCAGCCTCGCTGCACCTCACCGAGACCCAGGTGAAGATCTGGTTCCAGAACCGGCGCAACAAGTGGAAGAGGCAGCTGGCCGCCGACCTGGAGGCGGCCAACCTCTCCCACGCCGCCCAAAGGATAGTGCGGGTCCCCATTTTATACCACGAGAACTCGCCGGCCAGCGCCTTGGGTTTCACCCTGCCCCACATGTCGCCCCCCTTGGTGGGCTTCTCCAGCGGCGTCAGCTACCCCCTGGGCACCTTCCCCGCCGCCTCCCTCCCCTTCCTACGGTCGCAGATGACAGGACTCGTTTGAGCGCCCACCTGTGCCAGGACCGCGGCCCCTTCGCCCCAGCCTCCGGCTTCCAGCTCCACCCCCCACCCCCGTATCATCCCCAGACTTTTTTCTTTCCACTTCCACGTTTCTCGATTTACCGCTTTGGGACTTTTTTTTTTTTTTTTTTTTTTTTTAACGTGCAATAAACTCACCGCTGGGGTTAACTCGGAACGACGCGCGGCCGCCGGACACAACCGAGGGGACACCGGGGATCCCCGGCCATGAGCCGGGAGCCACTCGGCGGGGCCCCCCCGCGCCAAGCATCCAAAGAAAACTCGGACTCGGCCCCGGGGGGACACAGACCGGCGTTTTTCGGGGGGGCAGCAGCCCCCTAATTCTCCCCCCCCCCCCGAGCGTCAGACGAATGTACGGAACTGCCAGGGCCGGGGGCTCTTCCCGGCCCCGCGGTCCCCACCCCAAAAGACGGCGAAGCCTCGGGGCCCCCACCGCGGCCACGGGACCCTCAGCAGCTTCTCCAGGGCCCTTTGTTTTAGCCACTTAATTCCTACAGACACCCAACCCTCCCCAACCCTCCCCAACCCTCCCCCCCCCTCCTCCCAATTGTTACTCTAATTTTCATACGATCAATACCCAAGCATGTGTTGGTGCCTCCCCTGGTCCTTCTCGGTGCAGCCTTTTTGATTTCCAACAACTTGAAGGCAAATTACTCGAGTGAATTCGCCCCACTGAAGTCAGAGCTGTGAGGATTTGGTTTCTTTATTTCCATTTTATTTCCCCGATAAACTATCCGCTAAAAATACGCGGTGGAAAAAATATTAATAATAATAAGTGAACATTACTGTGTTTTATTAGCTGGATTTGACTCTTATTTGGGTCTCCTGAGAAGGCTGAGGAAAATGCACCTCAGCTTTTTCCGTCTCTTAGGGGGTCGGTTTGTAATCGATTAACAGTTCGCACTGGCAGTTTAAAACAGAGAAAAATAATCAGATGGCGACAGACTGGGGAGTTGTACGGCTAGTTATGCAAGCTAAACTGTAATGTGATATTATATGAAGTATTATGCATGCCGAGCTATTTTTCCTTTAATAACTGTTTTTGTTTCTCACTCTCTACTCACTGCTAAAATTAACATCGGGTTATTGTTTCCAAAGGTTTGATTTTTTTTTTCTTAATATTAAGGGGAAAATGACTTTATAAAACTCAGCCTTGAGCTCAGACAAGGTCAAGCTTTGATCCTACGTTTTAGGGCATAATCAGGTGTAATTTAACTGACCAGCTCGCAACACTCGGTGTCCCCGTGGCAAAAAACGGGTCCATGGGTCTGTTGGGGTACGTGCATGCAGACCGGTCCCGGTGAAGGAAGAAAGATCTAATTCTTACTGTTTCCTACACTTTACGTTATGTTCGGAGCGGTCTCACGCTTTCGTGCTATGAAATCGATCGGCGAGATGCGGCGAAGCTTCAGCTTTGGTACGAAACCCAAGAAGAAGGCTCAGGGGCGGATTACAACCTCTCCACTGCTTTTTTTTTTTTTTTTTTTTTTTTCCCTCTCTTTGGCCTGAAACACGGCTCTGGGCATCATGCACAATTGAAGTCAGGACGCTGAAAACTTCAAAACCACTCGAGAAGTAAAATAATAATAGTAATAGATGCGTATTGTGGGTTCCTGAGGAAAGCGTTAACTTGCCGGTATGCTCGTTTCGACTCGAGCCTCGGGTTTGGGAGCTTTTTTTTTTTTTTTTTTTTCCACTGCTCTGAAATTTCTCTTCTCGCTCCGGGAGGGCTTTTCCAGCTGTTTGCTTGGCGTAGCCGGGAAACTCCCGTTTTTTGGGGAGAAAACTTCTGTTGATCTGATCCAGGAAAGGGGAAGGGGGATAGGGAACGGTGGGGTGGGGGTCCCGAAGCCCCCGGTGGGACTCGGGGGGATTTCAGCCTTTTAATGAGCAGAGGGGGCGGCTTTGGGCGACGTCGCTTCCTCTGGGCTCACCGCTTGGCTTGGTACCGTTCAGAGCCTGACTATGCCTGGAGGAAAACAGCCAGAGCCTTTCCCCATCCTATCCAGCTCCCCAGCTCTCCCAGCGTTACCTGCTGGAGCAAAATCCTGACTCCCTACGGTCATATCAGAGTAGATTGTAATCCAACGGGAAACTGAACATGCCTGCCACTCTCCACATGCCTTTTCTTTGGAGTAACATATGAGATTATTATACTTCTGATTCTACTAAATATTATTTTCTTGAAGTTAAGGAACTGGCAGGGCTAAATGATCAATCGGATTTTTAAAATGTGTTTTGACATTAGTTTGTTTGTTTTTTAAAGACGTGCTAATTATATCAATAAACAGATTTTTTTTTCATACACTGTATTTGTAACTTATGACCATAGTAAAATATTAAAAGGTGCAAGATGTGAGTTCTTCTAAGAAAAAAATGCTTACGTATGCCTTATTCTGTACCTGCAGGAAGTGCTTTATTAAAAATATGTACTGAAAGTAGGAACATAAACACCTCAGGTTTCTTTACCTAGTCGATTTTTAACGACTCTTTTCATTGTACCTGATGGCAAGAAAATTGCAGGATCTACAGAAACAGCTAGCAGAAGACGTGGTCACTGACGAATATACATTGGCAACATTGGCAATTTCAAAGCAGGCAAAAAAAGCCTAACCTCAAATTACGAGAACAGATTCCTCGCAGTTTTATTCCCTCTGTATATCTCTATTAAACAAATCAAAGAGGTAAGACTCACTCTTTGTGCTTCTTCTGCAAACAGAACACTATAAGAAATATGTTGGCAGACTATAAAGCCCAAAGTAGTTTCACAATGGCTGTTTGCGACATATAGAGACATACGTTGCTGTTTTATAGATCAAAGCAACCTCAGAATAGCTTTAAAATAAATCCAGTTATACTACAGCTGTAATATTATTATGCAGCATAAATCCTTGTCTGTTGACATTTATTTAATGAATGTTGCTACAACAGCTTAGCTAGATGGCACTCCAGAGGCGAGGCTAAGGAAAACCTTGCCAGACTACTCACAAAGATAACTTCTGCTTATTGGAAGCTAATAAAAATAATTAGTGAAGAGGTGGTCTTTTAACTTTTTTTTTTTTTAAGCAAACAAAAAAAAATCAAAATACTGTACGAACTGCCCCCCTGAAATAAACTAGTTTAGCTGCTCTAAGATGTTATTATTAATTACACTTTAAATGAAAGCGATCAATATGCTGCAAAGCACCTTGTTACAAGGCTGCTTTGCAAATGGTACAGTGCTCACCGGCTTAAGATGGCCTATAACTTTTCTCCTAGGCAGGGGTCTAAAATATTCATGCAAATCAATACTTAATAAATCTCATAGGTGCGCCCTGGCTCCACTGTTGAACAATATATTTGAATCGATTTTTTTTCCCCCCTTTCTTTTATACTGCATTATCTTGGAAGAGACTGTCTCTACCCCCTGCGAACACGTCAGCCTGGCGGGGTGCGCACGCCGCGTCGCGCCATCGATCGGGGCCTCGCTGCAGACTGCAACGCCCTGGCAGGATTAGTGCTCTCTGCCTTGAATTAGATCCAGGCAATTTTCTTGTATTTCTCATCCCATTCCCAATGAATGCTACTTTACGACGGAGTTCTTAATGCTTCATTTAACTATTCTGAGGTTCTCAACTCTTCTTAGCGATCCTATGTTTTAATTTCTGTGTACGGAGATGCATGAACATCTGTGCATGTATTATGAAAATCTGGACTTGTGATGAGAATGTCAAACTTTTCTTTTATTTATTTATTACTTTTTTTTTTCTTTTCTGTTCTTTGCTTTGCTTTGCTCTTCTTTGCTTTTTCTTGTCTTCTACTCCTAGTTCTTTTCTTCTACTACCAGTTCTGCTTTCTTCTTGGTTCTTCTCCTTTCTTCTCTGTTCTACTTTCTTCTCTATTTTACCTTCCTCTCTATTGTCTTTTTTCTTCTTATCTGCCTATCTATCTATCTACCTATCTATCTATCTATCTGTCTATCTCTTTCCTCTTCTTTTTCTCCATCTTCTTCCTCTTCTGTCTATTCTCTCTCCCTTCTGTCTTTGGCAACCCTAGTCTGTTGAACACCTGGGACTTACCTACGTTATTCAGAAATCCCCTCTAGAATTTTACTGCACAACTCTCGTATCAAGTGCAGAGGTTGCAGGAAGACGATCTAACCGAGGACTTTAAACTGACCTAACAAAAGATTTCCAAAAGGGATGCGGCAGGGCCCAATCCTGCCCGTGTCCTGCACCTCGGGAGTGAAGGAATCGTCCTGGTACACCTAGCTGCCCCCCGCCAAAAGCCTTTTTATGCGTGACACCTGTAGCTGCCTTCCTACGGGAAACCCTTTTCTGCCCCGTCCCTCCCAGTCCCTGTACCTGGCATAGGCGGGCGATGGCCCTGTACTTGGGGGCGGAGGTGGGGGGGTTGTACCCTCGAATTTCAGCCGCGGGGTGGAGGAGAAGGACATCGCGATAGTAATCGGCAATTAATACCCAGCGAGTGCTGAACTGCAAGGTCGGGTTTATTTGAGGGACCTGCAGCACTATCCCAAAGCCACCGTTTATTTATTTATTTATTTTTATTCCGTTTTACTTTTTTTTTCTTTCTTTCTTTTTTTTTTTTTTTTATGAATTTTTTATTCTCAGGCAGCTCTTTTGGTTTGGATCTTCTACCCCCTGCTGTGTACCGGGAGAGGAGTGGGGACTTAAGTCCTTAAAGACTGCTTCGAAGTCCTGGTGCGGCCGTACTTATTTGCAAGGGGATGTGAAATCCAGATAGGGCCTATTTTATCCTCCAGCACACCGGGGGGTGAAACAATCCCGATCCCGTAAACCAAGCAAAACCGGACCCTTTCGCTTTTCTGTAGAATCTAATCAGATTTCGTGTCAGTGACTTTTAGTTTCAGATTTTTTTTTCCTTCTCTGAGCTGAAATGGAAATAAAGATATGCATACTGTCTGCTTTCTCGTAAAAAGCTTTCCCAGGTAAAAGGTTTCCATTCAGCTTGACGTGAGTTGCTAGTACAGGAATATATTATTCAAAGATAAAGACCTGCTCTCCTGCGCTGTCGCTGCCCTTTAGCGGACTCCCTGGCACGACATGTCGCAGACGACAGGATCGCTCCGAGATACAGCGCAGATGAAGAGCAGGATTTAAAAGTACCGCTAGCAGAAAATCTCTGTAGGAAAATCTCTAAAAAAAAAAATTACTGTAGGAAAAACTTGTTTTGTTTTGTTTTGTTTGTTTGTTTGTTTGTTTGTTTTTTGTCGGAGTGGCTGTGCGCCTTGTCCGTCGGCCTTTTGTGGCTGAGGCAGGGAATTGCGTGGTGCGGAGTGGAGACTTGGCCAAAATCTCCCCTCCAAACACCTCCAGCCTTTGCCCTAGGCTTTCCCCACGACCAAAGAGCCAATGACTTGGAAAAAAGTCTGTGACTTTTGGCAAGGTCTCTCGCCCAGCCGTCCCGTGGGACACTTTTTTCCCCCTCGGTTGCCCCGAGCAGGTCCGCGGGGGCTCCTCCGAGCTCCCCGAGGCAGCAGCCTCTGTGTCCCCCCAGCCTCCGCCAGAGACCACTTGGCGGTCTGCAGGATTGCAACCTGTCGGCTTGCGGAACCCACACTTTACTCCCCTCTGAAGATGAGGGAGACTCTAAGAGAGGGCGTGAGGTACGGATCTGGCTTGGAGGACCCGCTGCGGGGGGGCAGCGGTCGCCCCCATCCTCTTGTTACCAATGAGTTGCCAAAAAGCCTGGGGAGCTGCGGGGCTGCGCTGCATTCCCTCCCTGCGCACAGCTTGCCAGGGAAAAAGCGTTTCTGTAGGGCGGCCAAATGGGGCTGGGAAAGGAGGCAGACCTCTCCCGACGGGGTGCTACTGGGACTGGGTCTGTGTCTGCCAGGGCTGGCCTTGAGCTGCTCGTAGGGGGCGCAGGGGGCCGCAGTGTAATAAAACGAGTAGGCAAAGCTTATGGAGCTTATGTCTCTTTCTTCAGTTTCCTTCTAATTTTCTGCCTTCTTCAAATTGTCCTTTTTATTCCAAGAAAATGTCTTTTAGGAAAACACACTGAGAAGTCGATACATTTGTTCTTTTGTGTGGATTTTTTTTTTTTTTTTTCGCGACTAAGAGGGAAATAGTTTGCAACAAAGACAGATGTGAGCACCTGGGACGTGGCTACCTTGCCCCTTTCCAGGCAGAGGGAAAAGAGGCCGGGACAGCAGCGCAGGGACTCGGACCGACCCGATCTGGCATCCAAGTGCTCCATTCTCCGAGTTGTGCCAGCTGACACGGAATAATGTAATTTATCTTCTCAGCTTCTTCCCATTTCGCACCACTCCTCCCTTCCCTCTCCCTGTCGCTCTCCCTTAACAGGACGTTTCGCCCCAACAGAACCGCCAGCTTGTACAGGAGATTGCAAGACAAATACAATGACTTTGGGCGTTTGGCCAATGACCGTGTTAATGGAAGACGGGACGTTTTATATTTTTTTCGCCTGGTGGAAAAAAATACAGCTCTCCAGCAGACGGCTGCATTAAAATCTGAGTGCATTTATAAAGCGAAACAAAATTTCATGAAAAAGAGCTGAAACCCGCTCTCCCAAGAACCACTGCTTTAAAGATTAACACAGTCCAAAGCCTTAAAAGATGTCCTGATTTTAGCTCACGGAATCTTCTGCATCACAATATTTAAGAGCCTGTCAGCACTTCTATTGTCAACTCTTTTTCAAGGGCTTCTCGCTTGCCCTCAGCACTTTTCGTGGTGGAAACATCGAGACTCGGACTAAAAGGCCTCCTAAAAGCCGGTTACAAACATTCGCCGGGCTTTACAAAGGGGCTCAGGGGAGGAAAGGGTTCCCTGTGCTCAGCAGCTAGCTGCTAGCTGATGGCCGCCCTTGGGTTGTGTAAACCAGTTTTAAGATATTGCGATGTTGGTAGGTGGTGGAGAGCAAAAGTTCTCCAGACACCACACAAACGTACAAATCCTTCCCCGAGTCCCGAGGAGCATCAGGAGTGCTTGCTCCAATAACAGATTTTCTCTAGCCTCCAAAAGGTACAGGATCTAGCACAATTTTTAGCTTTCGAAAACTACAGAAGAGTTGTGCAGATCTGCGGGGTGGTTTTCGGGGTGACCTTCACACGGGGCTCCTCAGAAGGAAAGGGGCTCCCTTTCTCCTCTATGACCCCGAGAAGCTGCAGTGATTTCCCCCTGCGCATCCATTGCTCCCTTCCCTGTCCATTACTCCTTTCTATTCTTCCTCCCTCTTCTGCTTCTTAAATCTCCGTTTCATTTTTTTTCTCGACTTTATCTTTTTCCCCTCTCCCCTCAGTAAAGGTTCTCACTTGCTGCCTCCTCCCTCGTGATGACCCCCCTCTATCACTCACCCCCTATCATTCTTTTGTCCTCTGTGCAATATTCCCTCTCCACCTCTCTGCCCTCCTTCGTTTCCCAGATCCCCTTCTTTCCCCATCCTGCCTTCCCAGAAACCCATTTCCTCTCTCTTATTTCCAGCCCTCTCCCCCCATCTCTTTCTTTATCCTCCATCCCAGAGCCCTCCGCCCTACAATCCCACCTCCCCATCGCCCTTTCCCG